CATGCAACTGAAGTGGTTGAAGTGGTTGAAGTGGTTGATTCCCCATATTTCACTGCCATACATTGAAATAGGTTTAATTGTATGGTCATAAAGGTGCATTAAAGTTGAGACACTAGGATTTGATGATGCTAGCCATTGTTGTAATCCAAAACAAGCTTTCGTAGATTTATTGTATAGCTCATCTTTACACTGTGTAAATTTACCACTTGATACAAAAGTAATTCCTAGGTACTTATAACATTATACTTTCATGTTGTTGCCCATTCAAATACAATGGACAATAAACATGTTTTCCTGGTTTGTCAAAAATTAAAACTTTTGTTTTATTAAGGTTTACATTTCAACACCATTTTGAGCAATATAGTTGTAACCTATCCATTCTCTCTTGTAAACCATCTTGTGTTTCAGACAAAATAACAATGTCATCTGCATACATAAGACAATCAATTCTGTTGTCATTTAGATCAACAGGGTCAGTACATAATGAAAATGTATAGTCCTGCTTGGACTACTTTTTTTTATAAGTATATTTAGCAATACAAATAACGCACCACAACTTACCATATATAATAGTTTCAAAATTTCTTGCTTTTGCTACAAATTTGTAGAAATCTAGTATATGTTAAACATAACCTTTAAAGAGAAATTTTTGTTTTAGTGGCGACAATGGAGATTTCAAACACAAAAGTAAAAAATCAAAAGTCTGAGATGAGTCAATTTTAAATAAGACAAGAATTAATTTTAGAACTAAAAATCACAGTAATTTTCATTGTTTGCATGTGAAAAGATACATATGACTTTAGTTTTCACAAATTTGGCAACATTTTTTGGGTTAAAAACTATGTTTTTTGAAATGTCATAAATATATATTAAGAAAATTCTCATTTTCACAGAATCTTGTGGTTATAATTTTAGAAATGTGATAAAATTTTGACTCATTTCAATCACGCATAAAAAGTTATATGCAAAAGAAATTTTACTGCAAAGAAATTAATGGAGGCGGTGCGCTTCTTTTGTTGTTAATAAAATTGAGAATGGAAATGGGGAATATGTTAAAGAGACAACAATCCGGCGAAAGAGCAGATGATAGCCGAAGGCCACCAATGGGTCTTCAACGCAGCGAAAAAATCCCGCACCCGGAGGTGGTCCTCAGCTGGCCCCTAAATAAAAATGTGTACTAGTTCAGTGAAAATGGACGTCAAACTAAACTCCAAAACATATAAATGAACTAAAATTTAAAAACATACAAGTCTAACAAAAGCCAGATGCTCCTGACTTGGGACAGGCGCAAGTATATATTTGTTAAATGTTTTGTTATGAATTAGGCCGTAAGTTTTCTCAATTGAATTGTTTCATATTATGCATGTCGGGGCCTATTATAGCTGACTATACGGTATGGGTTTTTGCGAAATAACCCAAACCTCTGCGTTATAACGCAAACCTTTGTGAAATAACCCCAACATTTGTTTTATCTTATTTCTTATTTAAGTTTCAAGGGAAGTAGCTGTTATAAATAGAGGAGGCTGCATGTATTAAATTTTATCACTCTTTGCACTTATTGCAAAGTAAAATACTGGGGTGTTCAGCACATATCTTGGCAAAATGATAAAAACATAGAAAATTTAGCAAATTGAAGTAATACCGAAGAAAATAAAAAATAAACCTGGTAATGTAGCCAAATTTTAATATACTTCAAAAGTTAGCGCTCGTATGAGCATTGTGTAAGATATGTCAGATCCAAACAAGCTACCCCATTGAAATAAATGTATAAGATGAAGATTTTTTATTATTATAATTAGAATTTCAACATTGAAACTGCTACCCAAGCCTCTAAAATAGCTACCTTACTAGACAGAAATTAAAAACCCCATGTTTTTTTATCAAAGAATCTATATCATATTCTGAGATTTCAACAAACGATAAAACAAATTATTCTAAATAATTCATTGTAAAGCTGAAAGATCATTTTGTCTATTTGACTGTTTAATTTCACATTGTATGAATTTTTTTTTCTGCTCTTCTCTACTTTACCACTTTCCGTAAATCAAAATTTTCTAAATCTTCGCCTTTCAATTGAAATTTGCCTATACCATATCTATTTCATGTTCAATTTATATATATGCAATACAAGTATTCCTTTATTCCTATCTATTTTTATTATAATGATTTGGCCTTGTGTTAATGGTCCTTCTCTTAACTAAATCACAACCAAACTTTACTGACAGACGGACATGCAAATACCGACATTTACAAAACACTGCTTTCAAATTATATCATAAATGTAAAATGTAAATCCAGTACAGTTTTCGATTATAAAATATACAAAACTTAATGAATAATTAAATTCAAAATGTTTTGCGTTATGACGCAAATGTTTGCCTCATTTCGCGAAGGTTTGCGTTATAACGCAAACATAGGAAGAAATATAAAAAAAAAAAAATGGGTGGCGCTACTACGTTTTCGTAGCTAACATAAAATTGTATTATATATATGTTATTAAGACAACATATATTTACCCTGCTATTAGTTTTTAAACTTATTCAATATGAAAATGTAATGTACATACTCGATGGAGAAGAAACGGGAACAGCTAAACATTTCTAAGGAATTTTGTACGCTTCGACCTATACAAATACCGCATTTGTCCTATTAGAATCGAAATAATTCCTTCATAGCAAATGAGCATAGATCATGACATGATGGAATTATTTGTTAAATTGCACAAGAACGTGTCTTCCTGCACTATTCGTGAGTTAGTGTATGAGAAGTACATTTATTTTTAGACTGTTTTCAGTAACCGAGATCACTCTTAAATATCGAATTATTTAGGTTTAAACCTGCATCTGTGATTTTGCTGTATATTTCACCAGTATTTTAAAGTATTGTTGTTGTATTTTTTTCTCTTCTCCTTTTGTTGATTAAATTTTTGATGATCAAAAGAGGAAGGGTTGGGTGAACGAAACAATTAATTAACTCGCTTCATGTTATTGTGCTTGTCCGTGTCCTTAGTCAGGAGCCTCATCATTAATAATCTTTGTTCATAAAGTTGGTGCTTCTTCATAAGGGGGAATTGATGATGATTGATCTTTGTAGTCCATATAAAATTTATTCATTTTTTTCTAGACCTGGAGCGATTTAGAACAATGAAAATTATGCCCTCATTTTCAGTGGCAGTCAAAATTTCCCATTAATCCTTCCGGTTCAACCTCTCTCATTGAGCAATTCTATCTCCTTATATTCAGGAAATATTTGCACCAGATATTAAGCTACCTGAACAAAAGTCACAATTATGAAATATTTATAAAAACTCAAGTGTACATTAAATAACCTGTCAAACTATTAAGTGCAACCTCTGCATTTAATTGTAAATTAAGATAAATTTTGATCGATATGAATAAGATAGATAGACATTGGTTGTTTATTGATAATCTTGGACTCAAGCATCTGTGAAGAGACACCATTTGTCGAAATGCGTATCTGATACAGTTAAATTGGCATCGTTTATATATAATCATTATCACTGGGTAGATACCTCTGTGGGTGAACTGTTAGTCCACTAAGGTATACTCAGCCCAGTAGTTAAGTACTTCGGTATTTACATGGTTATACGGATATTTGTTTTGGTGAAATTTGTAGTGATAAAACGAAGGAAATGGTTTCTAAATCTAGGAATGTATCTCTTTCATGCATATCTCTGATTCTTTATCCTGGTTTGGTATACTTAAAGTCCTTTTTTGGTAATATCCAGTATAAGAAACGTTTGTATTAGATTTTAAATGTCAAAATATTTTGCTTAGAGTATAAACGAAAAAGACATTATTTATTAATGGAGTTCATTAATAATTAAAAAGCAAGATGCAAATCTATAATTCTATGTGTATATACATGGACGCCAGCAAACTAGTTTAACCCCGTCACATTCTATATGTGCCTATCCCGAGTCAGGAGCCTGTAGTTCAGTGGTTGTCGTTGGTTCATGTCTGTCATGTTTGTTTTTTTTGTAATTTGTTTTGTTATAAATTAGGACGTTAGTTTTCTCAATTGAATAGTTTCATATTTTTCATGTCGGGGCCTTTTATAACCGACTATACGGTATGGGTTTTCTTGTCGTTGAAGGCCATACGGTTGCCTATAATTGCTTACATCCACTTTATTTGAAGTTTGGTAGATAGTTGTCTCATTGGCAATCATACCACATCTCACTTTTTTTATACGTTTTTATAGCAAGAATAAACCGAGACAATTGATGATATTTAGACGATTTAATTCTAACATAATCATTGTTAAAGCATTTCTTGCTAGCTTACTTTAAATATCTCGCCAAATTTCTTACTTGAGAATGTTTCTCACTCACAGTAAAAATATGACTATTACTAAATACAACAATAATAAAAACAGAATGTTGCTGTGTATTGTGAATTTTTCAGTTTTGTCTATGTGATTACAATTTGAAAGCAGAAATGCATCTTTTACGACAACGAACTTTTCCAACTTATTCACTTCATTTTTTACGTAATCCGAATACAAAAAACCAGAAATGATTATTTGAAATTTCGTTTCTTGTCAACATTTCTTAGTTAATTTTTACAAATATAGATATTAATTGACTGATTTTTGTTTGCTTATCGTCCAGTGGTAAAACAAATATAAAACAAATGAGATAAAATTATCAATATATTAATTGCTCCACGGAAAATATAAATGGTTTGATTTGTTCTATTGTATTGTAGTCACGGCCATTCAGATTATTATTTATTTATTTTGCGATCAAGTTTCAAACCAAACACTTAGTTTCAAGTGTTTCTCTTTTTAACGAATCGAATGACGTTGTCTATATGACAAGTGACTCTATCAAGTACCACATACATTCAGATTTAGTTGTCGCTCAAAATTTATTTCAAAGCTCCATTAAGTTTGAATAGGTTTTGATATCTACACTAGTTGTTTTATGCTACGTCAACACGTGGGTCATTAACTTAATTAAATTCATAATAAACTTGTATTCATTTAAATTATTATCAACGTTAACTAGTATTGCGAAAGACTTCTTAGTTTTACTTCAGTTGAAATTAGCATATGAAGTTAAATGATAATAAATATCGATTGATATACATGGAGTTCATTAATAATCAGAAAGCAAGATGCAAATCTATAATTCTTTGTGTATGTATTCTTTCTCTTACCGATGCAACATCTTTTGATGACATGGATACTTTGTACAAAACACTTACCTCCGGACATAACAAGTACTTAAGACCAGAGGTAGATTTAAGCAGTTCTACAGTGATATCTATAGACTTTTATATAATAAACCTGCAGGAAGTTAATGAAGTTGACGGAACAGTTTCTATAACTGGTTATTTTGACATTCAGTGGACCGATAATAATATGTCATGGACTCCTGCCGATCACGGCAATGCAGAGTATATTGTGTTACCTGAAGATGTTATTTGGAAACCTCCCTTAATAAACTCAAATAGTGCACAAGAAATGACCATGTTCGGTATGGATGACTTATCCTTGTACGTCCGTTATAACGGACAAGTTACATGGCTTCCTGGACAAAATTTGAAGTTCAGCTGCAGCTTCGATATAACGTACTTTCCTTTCGATACTCAAAAATGTACTTTGATAATAATAACATGGGGACATGATTCTCAAGACATTATTTTTAACTCGCTAAATTCAACACTTCAGACATCATTATATTCTACGAATAGTGAATGGGATCTAAGTAAAACGTCTGTTACGGTATCTACTACAGGAACACCAATGGCAAATTTTACCTTCTACTTTAAGAGACGTTCACTGTTCTTAACGATTACTTTAATACTTCCATGTGTTTTCCTTGTTCTCTTGAACATTGGTGTTTTCCTCCTGCCGACTGACTCTGGAGAAAGGATTGGATTTGCGGTAACTCTTTTATTAGCGGTAGTATTATATCTAACGATCGCACAAGAGCTACTTCCGGCCACCGCTTTACCTAGACTCTCTGCTATTTGTATATTTCTTATGATTGATTTCATGATGAGTGGTTTAATTGTAGGATCCGTCATCGTGAGCTCTAGATTTTATTTCAAATCAGAGGATGAGCCAATTCCAAATTGGATGAAGAAAATTGTTACATTCCAGCTTTGCTGTCGAGCTAAAAACAGAGTGCACGATGGCCAAAGTACTGGGACTGGAAGACACGAAGAGAAAGGTGAAGTTTTATTTAGGAACGAGAAAGTTAATGACTCGCATGGAAATGAAAAAGAAATTACATGGCAAGATGTCTCGAAAACATTTGATTATATTTCACTTATATTTTATATGATGATGTTTATTGGTACCAACTTAATGTTTATCATTGATGTTGTACAGGGAACTTCATAATCATTCACACTGGACGTTAAGCAGCCGACAATCAATCAATCATAATCATTCACAGCTGTTTTCATCTTTTCACCTAATTTTGTTTATTCGAATAAAGCAAACACATACTATTTGTGAAAATGTTTTTACGGTGTATTGTCTACATAGCCAACAGAGAAGACATGTGCGCACGACAAACTTGTGTAACCCCAGCACTTGTTGTGTCTTTACAAAGTCGGGCTATTAGGACTCTGTTTTGTTCATTGTTATTTTTCTTTTTCGTGCGTCTATAATCGCGAAGGAATAGATTGGTTGCGATTAATGTGGTTTGTTGTAATGTCCAATAATTTAAGTAATTCCTGTTATCATTTATTCTGTATAAAATGAATTAGGCTAGCATTATCCTTTAACTTAATGTTCCGCTTATGAAATTTAAAAAGTTTTATTTTAACTTTTTATCTCTCATATCCAATTAAAACTGAAATAAAGAATACCATAGATACAACTGACAACTGGGTTTTGATCTGCTTCATACTTTGACTTTCACTTAGGTTGAGTCTTTACGACAAAAATACGATGACTTAAATTAACCCGTTTTAAATTTTCTATGTAGTAACATTCTATTGTTTTCTGCAAGTCGAGTACAGTCTATGTAACAACGTTCCATCCTCACCTTCATATAAAGTACAGTCTTTGTAGCAACGTCCAATTCTCACCTTTATATATAGTACAGTCTATGTAGCAACGTTCCATTCTCATCTTTATATAACGTACAGTCTATGTAGCAACGTTCCATCCTCACCTTCATTTAAAGTACAGTCTTTGTAGCAACGTTCCATTCTCACCTTTTTATATAGTACAGTCTATGAAGCAACGTTCTATCATCACCTTCACATAAAGTACAATCTATTTCAAAAGTTAATCATTTTCTTAAAATTGTCTGTTAAACTATGTTATTTTTAATACGCATGCAAATACATATTACCTTATATTCATTATTTGTTAAGAAAATGAAATTATAAGCTTGTTGCGCTGATATTGGAATATTGATTAAATTGTAACAAAATCTAAACATGTGTCTCTGATTAGTCTTTTGTAGACGAAACGCTCGTCTGCGTACAAAATTATAAGCCTATTATCTATGATGAGTTTTGTTTACAACCATTGGGTTGATGCCACTGCTGGTGGAGGTTTTCGAAATACTGATACATTATAACGAGTCCATGCATTGTAAATTGTTTCTTTCGGACTTTTTGTAATTTTGATATACATTTCAGTATTTTATGAATCAAATATGAGAAATGAGACACATATATGATTCGTTCATCCTATTTTGACTCTTTAAAATTCAAGAGTCTATCTTAAATTCAGGTAAATTATATGGCCTTCCAAATACCGTTTCGATCCCTAATATCACTGAAGAGACATTTATTGTCGAAATCCGGATCTGGTGCACACATATTTGCACCTCATGTTTGTGGTATAACAACTTTATTGTTTTCTTTTTAGTATTTAATTAATGTTAAGATCCATTTTGTTACATCTTGTGATCAATTTATTTGGCAATCGCCAATGGCAGTCAGCAGGGTTTAAGAACGTCAGTTGTTCGACCTGTTAGTCAAATGCGTTTTGTTAAAATATACTTTTTCACTTTTTTGGTCTTTTGGATAATGTTGTTTGTGCTGTATTTAGACCCTTCTACAACGAAATTTGTTTTACATGCACACGTATAAAAATTGCGGTTTTTATCCAACGCAATCATGGGTTTGAACGTAGTTTTCAATTTAGACTTGTTTATATATATATATATATATTGTTTTGTTTTCCATCTATTTATCGGTATTGTTACGCAATCTTTTAGACTCATATAATTTTCCCTGTTTGTGAAGTATTGTCAATTTTGATGATCCAATACCTATTAAGTTTACTGGTTGGTAGATTCTTATAGACTCTATATATATATACCTGCTAGTCAAATGCGTTTTGTTAAAATATACCTTTTCACTCATTTGGTCTTTTGGAAAATGTTGTTTGTGCTGTATTTAGACCCCTCTACCGAGAAATTTGTTTTGCATGCACACGTATAAAAATTGCGGTTTTTATCCAACGCAATCATAGGTTTGAACGTTGTTTTCAATTTAGACTTGTTTATATTTTTTCGTTTGGGCTTGTATTATATTTGCCTTCGGGTTTATATGATCCGTTCATCCTATTTTGACTCTTTCAAAATTTAAGAGTCTATCCTAAATTGAGGTAAATTATGTGGCCTTCCAAATACCGTTTCGATTCCTAACATCACTGAAGAGACATTAATTGTCGAAATCCGGATATGGTGTACAAAAACCTTTGCACCTTTTGTTTGCGGTATACCATCTTTTCCGCGGGTTTATTGTTTTCTGTTTAGTATTTAATTTATAATTAAGATCCATTTATTACATCGGTGATCCGTTTATTTGGCAATCGCCAATGGCAGTCAGCAGGGTTTAAGAACATCAGTTGTTCGACCTGCTAGTCTAATGCGTTTTGTTAAAATATACTTTTTCACTCATTTGGTCTTTTGGAAAATGTTGTTTGTGCTGTATTTAGACCCCTCTACCGAGAAATTTGTTTTGCATGCACACGTATAAAAATTGCGGTTTTTATCCAACGCAATCATAGGTTTGAACGTTGTTTTCAATTTAGACTTGTTTATATTTTTTCGTTTGGGCTTGTATTATATTTGCCTTCGGGTTTATATGATCCGTTCATCCTATTTTGACTCTTTCAAAATTTAAGAGTCTATCCTAAATTGAGGTAAATTATGTGGCCTTCCAAATACCGTTTCGATTCCTAACATCACTGAAGAGACATTAATTGTCGAAATCCGGATATGGTGTATAAAAACCTTTGCACCTTTTGTTTGCGGTATACCATCTTTTCCGCGAGTTTATTGTTTTCTGTTTAGTATTTAATTTATAATTAAGATCCATTTATTACATCGGTGATCCGTTTATTTGGCAATCGCCAATGGCAGTCAGTAGGGTTTAAGAACATCAGTTGTTCGACCTGCTAGTCAAATGCGTTTTGTTAAATATACTTTTTCACTCATTTGGTCTTTTGGAAAATGTTGTTTGTGCTGTATTTAGACCCCTCTACCGAGAAATTTGTTTTGCATGCACACGTATAAAAATTGCGGTTTTTATCCAACGCAATCATAGGTTTGAACGTTGTTTTCAATTTAGACTTGTTTATATTTTTTCGTTTGGGCTTGTATTATATTTGCCTTCGGGTTTATATGATCCGTTCATCCTATTTTGACTCTTTCAAAATTTAAGAGTCTATCCTAAATTGAGGTAAATTATGTGGCCTTCCAAATACCGTTTCGATTCCTAACATCACTGAAGAGACATTAATTGTCGAAATCCGGATATGGTGTACAAAAACCTTTGCACCTTTTGTTTGCGGTATACCATCTTTTCCGCGAGTTTATTGTTTTCTGTTTAGTATTTAATTTATAATTAAGATCCATTTATTACATCGGTGATCCGTTTATTTGACAATCGCCAATGGCAGTCAGCAGGGTTTAAGAACATCAGTTGTTCGACCTGCTAGACAAATGCGTTTTGTTAAAATATACCTTTTCACTCATTTGGTCTTTTGGAAAATGTTGTTTGTGCTGTATTTAGACCCCTCTACCGAGAAATTTGTTTTGCATGCACACGTATAAAAATTGCGGTTTTTATCCAACGCAATCATAGGTTTGAACGTTGTTTTCAATTTAGACTTGTTTATATATATATATATATATATATATATATATATATATAAGTCTAGAGATTTGCACAACGATACTAATATAAGATGGTATTATACGAAGATGTTGTTAATAAATCGTGTTGACAAATATTTCGCCTTAACAAATAGCCTTCTTCGTATAATACCATCTTATGTTAGTATCGTTGTGCAAATCTCTAGACTTATATAATTTTTTTTCTTATCTGCACAGTATCGTCTATTCTAGACGATCCGGTACATAGTAAATTTGCTGGTTGGTCCTTTTTATAGACCTATATATATATATATATATATATATATATATATATATATGTAGGACTCTAACGTACGATGGGGACGCTAAAACGCGATGGTCACGTTAAAGTGCGATGGCCTACGCTAAAGTGCGATGGTCTGTGCTATTCATTTGAACACGCTAAAGTGCGTTTTTTTCCGCAAAAGTATCGACGTTAGCAACGTTAAACAGCATGAGGACGAGAATGTTTGTCCAGATTAAGGGTTTTTATTACACAAGAAAAGAAAGAAGAGAGAAACAAATGATCACAATCTGGAACATTTTTGGTCGTTGCTGGAAGAGGTTATCTTAATTTGTAAAATTGTGAACAGAAATTTAATCAAAACAGCTGAGGTGCCAAAAAAAGTTTTCTTTAATGGATAATTCTATAAAAAAAATAGAAAATGGGTTGTTATTTTTGTTAGATAATGAATATAACTCAACTAGACAGCAACCTAACGAGCAGATGTGTAGTATCATTATATGATTGCCAATAAGACAACTCTCTATCCAAGACCTAATGTCATTAATGTATGCAACTTTAGATTATAGTATGACCTTTAACGCGGAGCATTGGATTACATCGCATAGTATTCTATAAAGATCAAAGGGCCTCAAAACAACCAGTGTAAAAAAATTCAAACGAGAAAAATAACAACCTGATTTAAATATAAAACAATAAACGAACAGCAAATATGAAATACACCAAAAAAACGACTACCACTAAATTCCGGATATACTAACTACTGCAATGTAACCATTACACTTTTTGGACAACTATCGTACTTAAAATAAAAATAAGAAAATGTAGTGTAAACTATCCATCCAACCCAAATGTCGTTCATGTATGGAACTAATAATCATACCGGCGGTCTTCAATGTAAAGCCTGGTCCATGCCGCATAACAAGCTATATATAGTTATACAATGACCAGCGTAAAACAATTCAAAAGAGAAATACTACGGCTTGATATAGAATCGTTTTCATAACAGCGTAGACAACCGTAAAACTTTTGTTGGTAATAGTACTGAATAAATTACCTTTAACTTGTTTGTCATTGGCTATCGATAACAATGATTTTACGCTCACTCAGTCTGTC